AATTTTGGCAAGGATTTCTTAAAGAAAACATTTCCTTTACACTAACATATTATTTAATTAAGAATTCCAGTCAGGCATGGTGGCCCATACCTTTAATCCCCAGCACTTGAAGGCTGAGGCAGAGGGATCTCTGTCAGTTCAAGGCCAGCCTGGGTTACATAGCAAGTTTCAAGCCTGCTAGGGTTACACAGTGAGACCCTATCTTAAAAAAAAGAAAGAACGAAAGAATGAAAGAACAAAAGAGAGAAAGGGAGAAATGGAGAAAGAAAAAAAGAATGTCCATATGTTGATTTGCATGAAGCAAGGTACAGGAATATAGGTATGTACTGGAATTTTTCCTCTTTAACACTACACAGAAGAAAAAACATATCTCTGTAAAAGTCTCCTTCATGCTACTGTTTGAGAAAAGAACTGCCAATTTACCCCCAGATGAGACTTAATTAGAGTTATTATCGGCTACTGAATCATCTTTAAGTCACTCTTCCTCAGAGTGCAAATGTGGGCATTCTGGAATGTTCTGATTATTCCAGCCGTATTGGGCCCTGGAAACAGGGAGGCAAAACATCTTGTCTATTAACTAAAAATTAACCTTTGCATTTTTTTTCTAACTTATTAAGTGCTTTTTAAACCTTATCTCATTTAATCTTCTAACAAACCTATGAGCTAGGGGTTCTAAATTCTCCTTGTTTCTTTCACTAAAAGACTCACTGAATTGCCAGGAATTACAAATACTGAAAAAGCCATTATAGGAGCTTAGATGCTGTAACTCCAATTTCAGTGCCTTTTCTAACACAGATTGGTGAAAATAAGGGGAGACTGTTAAAATGTTTCTCTTTTTTTGAGACATGGTTTTTCTGTAGCCCCAGCTGGTCTAGAACTTGCTATGTAGACCAGGCTGGCCTCGAACTCACAGAGATCCACCTCGGCGTGTGCCACTACATTTGGTAAAATGTGTCTTTTATGTTCAGCCTTAATAGGCTATTGTTTATCATAGCCAGACTCATTTCAGTGGGAGTAGTACCTGATTGTATTATCTTACATTTTCTGACAAAAGGAAATTCCTTTTTCTCTCTTTAGACCATTTTACAATCAGAAGATTTGAGTAAATCTGTCCCTAAAATATTAGTCAAATAGTTAGCTGGGTGTGGCTGTATGCACCTGTAATACCAGTACTGGCGAAGCTGAGGCAGGAGGATCTGAAGTTCTAGGCCAGCTTGGGCTACATGGTGAGATCCTGCCTCAACATCAACAACAGCAAATTAGTTATATCACATGCCATCTTAAGCCAGACTTCCCAGGATTTCAATTATACTCATTCACTATTTAACCCTGGCTGGCATGGAACTCACTATGTAGATCAGGCTGGCCTCAAACTGACAGAGATCCTCTACCCTCTGCCTCCTGAGTGCTGGGGATTAAAGGTGTGTGCTACCAACACTTGTCTGTAAAAATGTTTTTATTACATTTATTTATTATTTATTATTTAGTGTGTGTGTGCATGTGTGTGTCTGCGTCTGTGTCTGTGTCTGTATATACACGTGAGCAGAGGTCAGAGGACAACTTTTGGCACTTGGTTCTCACCTTCCACTACCATGTGGGTCCTGGGGAGCCAACTCAGGTGGTCAGGCTTGGTGTCAGGTGTCTTTCCAGCCCTATTCCTATATTCTTACAAGGAAATGTGAACCTCTGAATCTATCGCCCCACTTCCTTCCCTCACTGGATTTATCAGTTTAAATAATTCACGGCCTGGCCCATATTGGATGAGTTCCTACAATATTGGCAGGTCATGAACTAGACTTGTGAGGGGTTTATATGTCCCATGACTCTTAATTTAACAGCCTGGCTAACTGAACACAGTAATGGTGTTCTCTATCCCTGGATGAATGTCTGCCATTAGCCCATAACTGACCACAGTGTTGGCATACATGTGTGACCGTGGATCATTGCACATGCAGAGACTATATAGGGCATTTAATTTTATTGCTTTTCTCAACTGATTTCTAACCATACCCAATTTATTTTCTTATTCCCTCTGTCTTTAGGAATTTTCTTCCTAAAATGTTAAAAAGTAGAGAATGAATGAATGGATCAAAGGAGAATGAATTCTGTAAACAGTCCCTCCAAAGAAGAGAAAAGTGTGTGCTCAAGTTTGGATTTCCTACCTTGTCTTACTACTAATATTTTTAGTTTTGTCTTGGCTTTCATATATGTTTCTGGCAATTTGCTTCTTACCATACTCTGTGCAACACATACCCTAATAAATAGCGGCTATGAGCCGAACTTAGGCTTCATTTAAAATAGAAGCACTTAGGAATCGGACCAAGGGGAAAAAACTATGCTAACACTCACAAAGCACATTCTTTTCTCATGCCTTCCTCAGTCTGTCGCCCTGGGCAGTAAATTGTATGGTAAAATAACTAGTTTATTATTTGCTATTTTCTTTCACTCTGCTGAGAAAAGTTACATTGTTGGCAAATTGACAGAAAACTTAAAAGTGGAATCCAGTATATTGCATGTATGTTGAAGGAATGTGTATGGCATATAATATACATGTGATCTATATTTTTTCCAGCTGTTATAAACAGATGTGTAATAAATGATTTTTTAACTGAATGAATGGAGATAACCAAAGAAAAATCAAGTGGTGATTCTTTCTCTCTCCTCCCCCTAAAAATACAAAATCACCCAACAACTAACTAAAAGCACCTTTTAAAAGAGAAAATCAGATTCTTTTTAAAAGCAGGACAATTCATTGTTTGAAGCTGTGATTGTTAATGCTTTACATATTAAGGTGTTTAGAAAGGGTTCAAGTTGTCTTACACAGTTGATCTTCACACAGGCCCCTTTTCTCTCACCCATGATTTTTTTACTCTGTATATTTGGCCTTGACTCTTCTAACATATATCATTTTCACCCACAGCTTAAGACAGCTTTGATGTTCTTAGTACAACATAGGATATATAATGGTAGCTGTTTAAAGCAGGAGATCAGATTGTGCTTAATAACATGTAGTTTGAATTATATAAACACTGCAGGAAGAAGGGGAGACAGGGCTCTTCTGTGTACAAATTTCAGATGGCGAGCTCTCTGCCTGTTTAGAATGTTAAGCACTCTTAACTAGGCAGTGATGCAGTTACTTCTTCAGTGTCCATGATTTCTGAAACTATAAAACCAAACTTTTTCAAGGGAAAATAAAGATGGTGCTAGAAATTAACATATTTACTTTATGTGATTTTTTTTTCCTACTTGTTCCTTAACCAGGTTTGAGGGTAGAGGGGAAGAAATTTGATTAACTTCAAAGTCCAATTTAAACAATTTCATTAATGCTTGGAAATGTAGCTGAGGACAGCCAAGGCAGAAGAATGTGCTACAGATTATGAATTTCAACCATCACCCATTTCACCCACTGCAAACAAGTCTGAAGAAGGAAACTATCAATTTATTTCTTTAAGAGTTGTTTCTCTTACATCTTAGTATTTCAGAGTTTATTACTGACTTTTTGCCTTTTGTTTGGGTCATTCTCTTACTGTTGCTGTTTGTCTTTGTTATCTGTGGTTGAAAGATTGATAACTTTTATATGCTGCATTTTAAAAGAAGCTAATAACACGTCATATTTTTCAACAATCAGATATTTCAGAGTGGAGAAAGGCATCAATAACTTTCCTGGTTTACTATAATTAGCTTTTATTTTCTTTGAATATTCATATCCTGCTTTATTTGAGGAAAGGCTGAGATACTTTTACTGCTTAAATATAAAGTGATAATCAGTCCTTTGAAAATGGGTGAGAAGTATCAGGCACATTTCAGGAATCTTTTATTTATTATAAAGAGATTGAGTGGCTTTTTGCTTCCTGCCCCTTCTCACAGGAATTTAAAATAAGACCATTCTTGCTGCTGTCTTTATATTGGGAAGCTCTACATGAGGTTGAAGTTTTTATAGGGAAACTTGTTTAAAACATAGTCGTATTTAAAGACGGGTTTGCCACAGCAAAGGTTAGGGGTTGCCGGTAAACCCATTTATAACAACTTCTGTGTTCTCTGCTCCAGACACACGGATGGCCAGCCTGTACACAATTCCAGGTTGGCGGTTCTAGTGGATCTTTCTAGAAAGAAAGGCTGTCCAAAGGGCTTTGGGAATGGAGTGGGCCGAGTCTTCCACACTAAACAGGCTGCCTGGATTTCCAGGAGGTTATGGAGAGCCCAGGACCCCCAGATCCCTAGGTCACACTCTGACTTTTGTTTTGCTGGGGAATAACAAAACATTTTGGGAACCAAGGAGTTTAATTTACTGCCACCAGCCAACATAATAATAGCATCTTTGTCTGTTCCCCCTCTATGACTCCTCCTCCCAACAAGGAAGCAAGACGTGGGCGGGCGGGCGGACGGTAATCCAGACAGCACAACCAGAAAGAAGAGGTCAGAGGCGACACACCCAGGACCCCGGGGACACCCGGACAGTCACTGATTCCTGAGCGCCCCTAATTCACGTTGGGGAAGAAAAAGGTGCAGTCAGCGAGAATCATTCTTATACTTTCCATCTCTCTTAGCCCATTTTGGCCCCAAAAGTGAGTGTGTTTGTTTGTGTATAGTTAAGTGAGGGAAAGAAAACCCAACAAAGCCACACAAGCCACCCTAAGGCATCCACGGAAACTTCAGCTTGGCTAATTGCTCCCATATGTCCTCTTCGGATGCTTTCAGGAAGCATGAAGATGGAAGGCCGGATCACTTTACTGATTTAAAAAAGGCTGGGGGTTGGGGGAGAAGGGTCTATCACCCCACCGGGCCCAGGCGAAGTCCCAGGGGAGCAGGGCTCTCAAGGGAAGCTGGGGGGCCGCCTGTAGAGACCAGGCTGGAGAGAAGGAGCTGGAAGGCGGAAAGTTCGTGCGCCGCCCCAGCGGGTCCCGGGAGCCCAGGCAGCTCCGAGCAGGGAGGGGCGCGGGAGGCGCGGCCCGGGCGGGCGCGCGAGAGGAAGGTGCCTTCGGGAACACGCGCAAGGGCGGGGATTGGCGCTGCCAATGAGGCCCTGGTGTGGGCCGAGCGAGGCGGGGGAACGGGCCGGAGCGCTGCTTCTGCAGCGGCAGCTGGGGGAGCGGAGCTCCGGAGCCTGAGGAGAGGCAGCCGCCCAGCGAGCTGGCCGCGTCCGAGGCCCGGCTCTGAGGTGGGAGCCGCGCCGAAAGCTGGAAACTTTCCCGGCAGGTAACTCCCGCTGGCCCGGCGCCCGCGCGGGCCCGGGGCGTCGGGAGCGGGGTCGGCTGCCCAGTGGAGAGGGTCGCTGGGGCTGCGGGAGCCGGCGGGCATGTGGGAAAGTTTCGGGAGCGCCCCCTCCTCCGCCGGGCACACCCTCGAGCTTCCCGGGGATGGGCACGGGCATGTCGGGCGCTCCCGGCCTGGGGCTCCGCACCTCTGGGGGAGGCGCAGGCCGGTTCCTGCGCGGCGGACCTAGTCGGTCGCCGCGGAGCGGGGCCGGGGACATCGGGACCACGCGGGCGCGGAGTGGCCGACGTCCCCTCGGCAGGGTCCTGGCAGCCCTAGGCTTGGCGGGGGCCTGGCGGCTCCGGGTACCTGCGGCCGAGCGGCGGGGCGGGGGCGAGGCGCGCTGGCACCGCGGGGTCGCGGGTGTAGCCGGGCGACGGGCGCGAAGTTGCAGAGCGAACTTGAAAATCGTATTGCTCACTGTGAGCTGAGAGTCCTCTTCCTTCTCTTCGTAGACCGCAGAGGTTAGCATAGGCTTGCTTTCTTTTTTTGGGGGGGGGGGTGGAGATGACTTGGAGTTAGACCTTGAAGATTCTTCTTTTAATGGGAAAACGCTGAGAAATACGAAGGGTCGTGTCAAGATTGTGAGTCCCCTCGTTCTGGGGCGCAGAGTGGTTTCTTTGGAGGCATTAACAGCACTCAGATTCTTCCTGGAGGACTTTGGGGTGTGTGGGGGGGGACTCGGTTTGGCGCGGCTGCTTTCCGGAACGGCCAGCGGGGAAGGAAGCCTGGGCATTGTGTGGCATGTTTGCAGACAGCAAGATCTCCAGACTGGCGTTCTCATAACTTATTGTGTAAAGGCTCCGGGAGGAAATGTGGCAGCGGCCAGGTTGAAATAAGGCGCAGGGGCCAAAGGGCCGAGGACGCCCGTGGGCTCTGTCACAGTCTTCTCCCAGCTGCCGTGGCTCCTTCCTGGCAGCCCCGGATCGTTGTGCCTGGAGCAGTGGGACTGGGCTAAGTATCTCAGATTCCTACAGTGGACTCCGGAAGGTGAGGAGGGCACCTTCATGTTGAACTTGACCCCAGCAGTAGCGTCCCGGCGGGTTACACGGTCAAGAGAAGCTCAATCTTAATGTGTCATGGACCAGGAGTCTAGCTCCTGGTTCCTAAATCTTTGACGAAAGGACTCAGGACGGTTGAGGTCGCGAACTCTGGAAATGCCAGACTCTTCAGGCTGCTGAAGTTAATGTGCAGAGGGAGGGAAGGAGAATAAACCTGGGTAGCTGGCACTGAGGATTGGTTTTTCTTTGTGGTGGAAAAGGAGGGAGTCTGCAACTCGCTTTCACCAGATCCACCCCCCCTCTCCTTTTCCCCTTCCTGGGTCATCCTTGTTCCTGCCAGGCTGGCACTCCTGGGATGGTTGTGGTGGTGGGGGGAGTGGGGAGGGGAGGGAGGGGAGGAGAAGGGGGGAAAGGCAGTTGTGAATCTTCTCTGGCTAGCCTGAAGGTATTTCAGATCTGTTACTAGGAAGATTCCTGGATTTTAACAGCTGCTTCTTGATTGCTGGGATTGAAAGAATTTATGAGCGCCTGAGAGGTGTTCATTATGGTAGTGTTCTGAATGTTTTACTCATCAGAGCTACTTAAAGAGCTTACAGGGACTTCCCTACAGTAAGCCAGTTTTGCAAAGTTTGTGTCAGCCAGAGTGCTTTGTGGGTGTCAGTCAAAAAGCATCATAAACAGGTTTTGGTGATTTTACAATGAAAAGGATAGCCAGTTGTGCTGGGTAGCTTTAGTGTCAACTTGACACACTTGGGTTGAGGGAGCCTCAATTGGGGAATTGCCTCCATTGAACTGGCCTGTGGCCGTGTCTGTGGGGCATTTTTCTTGATTGTTGAGTGATGTGGGAGGGCCCAGCCCACTGTGGGTGGTACCACCCCTGGGCTTGTGGGCCTGTGTTGGATAAGAGAAAGCTGAGCAGGGATCAGGGGAGCAAGCCAGTAAGCAGCGTTCCTCCATGGCCTGTGCTCCAGCTCCTGCCTCCAGGTTCCTGCCCTGAGTTCTTACCTTGGGTTCTCTGATGAACTGTGACCCAGGAGATGTAAGATAAATAAACCCTTTCCTCCCCAAGTTGGTAGTGGTCAGAGTGTTTTGTCACAGCAATGAAGAAACAAACCAGGACAACCAGTCATGGTAATTTGGCATCTGACATCCCTTAGGATTTCTTCTTAGGGTTATTACTTGCCAAATGAGTGGGTCCAGGATTCTGAACTGTGATTTGACAATAAGAGCTGGGAAATAGTGTCATTGATTTTGGTAGAGGCAGGAAAGTCAAGAAATAACTTTACGATCATTTTTCATGTCCATGTCTTACAGTTCTGGTTCCATAAGCTTAACTTTTGCTGAAATTTGGAAGTGTTGGTTTTCCTGCTTTTTTTGGTTCAACCACTAGAATGTTTTAAATTATCACAATTCATGTTCACCATGGAGCTTTTAAAACATAACTGATTTGTAGTCAGCCCTTTTCTGCTTCCAAATAACAGCCAAAAGAACAATTTGTCTCTTTAATGCACACAATTTATTTGCTGCCATAGTGGAGTTTTGATGCGGGGTGATTGAGGGCACAATTTTAGAGACAATGGAATTGCTTTGACTAATTCGTCCATTTTTAGACAACTTCTTTTCTGGGTTGCTGATTAATTCTTGATCTCCCAGAGATCATTAAAAGCCCTGTGCCTGGGCTAGTAGGGCTGTAATCCATATTATAATGAGGACTGCCAGGATAGTTGGGGGGTAGTTAGGTCTGCTTCCACTAGACACTTTTAACCCAGTTGTAAAGATTTTGTTTGTTAGATTAAGAATGTCCTAGCTAGAAAAATGGCTTTATGCACTTGCCTAACATGCATAAGGCCCTGGGGGGGGTGTTATTTGTATTATGAACTTTTGGTTTAACTTGTAACTTACAGGAATAAATTTTCAGAGACAAAATAAAGCTGATTGCATGTGTGTGCAGTCACGCATGTACACATATACTCATACAATGGGGATTTGTGCTAGACCCTGGAATAGCCTTTTTCTGAACTGTCTTTTAAATGCTTATTTTAATGGTGATAAAACTGTGCCCCTCCCCCAATTAAAGAAGTGTTTGCTGTACAGATCTGCCTTTCTGGATTTTGGTTTTCTCACCATCTTCCCTGAAATGTAATTACCTCATACCCATCCTTGAAGTCCCGTGCTCTCCAAGAGTTTGGGAAATCTAGGAATTCTGGAGCCTCTGTTGTAATATTAGAGCAGCGTAACAGCAGTTATAAAGGGGTTTACCACATACTTTATCCCCAAACTCGCAATTGTGTAATCCAGGGCCCAGGAAGCTAGATCACTTTGCCCAGTATCCTCTATGAAGAGTGGTGTTGAACTTGAACCTAGCAGGTCTCCTGACTCTCTCTTTCCCCATGCCTTGCTTCATTCACGCAAGCCACCTGTGAATTGGCTATGTAAAACCTAACAAACAGAACATGTGGTGGTCTCTCAGAATATTTCATTTATGGTTATTTGGGTTCAGAACCTAGAGTTAATATCTCTGCTTTGATGTGGAGGATTAAAAACAGTTCACTAATAATGATAACAGTACTTTCTCCCTAGGAGAGTTTCAGAAAGTCACATACCACCAACTAATCATTTGTTTATTTTGAATTTCTTTTTTTATTAAGTAGACTTCAGGGTCTAATATGATTTATATTCCAGATGTGTGACCCAGATAGCATTCTTGAGATCACTTCTTAAATGAGCCTCTTTTAAAAAAATAAGAATGAACATACCATTTGCCTTTCATATTGGTTTTCCTTGGCCTAATTGTAAAGCCTGGATGAATATCCTTTTCTTGGTGTCATGACCTTTTCTACTAATGATGACTAGATTGATTTGGCAGCAGTTCCATGATAAATAGGTCTGTTCTTATGCTGTTGGTTTAATGGTGAGTAGTAGTGGGTTGCAGGTGACCCATTTTCACTGTCTCTATTTGTTCGCTGTGTCCTGCTTGCCTATTTAGGAGTACTAAGTGTAGCCAGACCCTCAGTCTAGAATCTGGCCAGAATTTTCTTTGTATTTTTGGCACTGCTGGGAATCAGTCCAGGGCTTTGGACATGGTAAGTACATGCTGTGCCACTCAGCTACATACCCTCGCACAGGAACATTAACAGGTTAAAAAATGGAATTATGTGCCAAAATATAAGCTCTTTTACTTAAAATTTTAGATTTCATTTATTATGATGTGTGTGAATATGGGTGCAAATGTCATGGTGTATGTGTGGAGGTTGGAGCAGAACTTTTGGGAGTCAGTTGTCTTCTTCCACTGTGGGTTCTGGGTATTGAACGCGAGTCATCGGTCTTGTTCAGCAAGTGCTTTTACTCACTGAGTCATCTTGCTGGCCTGGTACAAGCTCTGTTATATTTGAGTACCTTGTCCACATAAAGCATTTACTTATTTATTTGTTAACTTTTTGCCATAGGGTCTACTATGTAGCTCAGTCTGGCTTCAAATTTGAGATTCCCCTGCCCCCACTTTCTGTGTGCTGAGATTATGGCTGTGTGGATAGAATGCCTGGCTTCATATTTAGCTTTTAAAAAACTTACTCTTGGGGGAATGTTTTTCAAAATAATTAAGAAATAGGGTTTTGCCAGGTGTGGTGATGCATGCCTTTAATCCAAATACTTGGGAGGCAGAGGCAGGTGGATCTTTGAGTTTGAGGTCAGCCTGGTCTACATAGCAAGTTCCAGGCTGGCTAGGGCTACAGGGGTTTAAAGAAATAGGGTTTAAAACTCAAGTGAAGATGTCAGTTAGTATCCATCTACTGACTGGTAAATCTGAAATTATTGCCGTTTCCTTGGGAAATGAAAGGAGAAGGGAGCATGTGAGGCAATATTTGCTGGTAAAGTTGGAAGACTGCTGTTGGTGTACCCAAAAGGGCTGGGAATAGCAAAGAGGAAGATTGGCTGGTTGCTTTT